CCGACTGTTCATTTTGCCAGCACTTTGAGCGATATCAATACGAATTACACTAACTTCAAAACAATTCTATGCGAAGGGGTGATCATGAAAAAAACCACTCATGCTCTCAAATAGCACAACAGCTGCTGTACAGTATCTACATCATCTCAATTTTGCGCTCAAGCTACAACTGCATGGCCAGACGGGGCGTACAATAAAGCTATTCGATGCATCACGGATAATGCTAGTCCGTTGGAATTCTTATAGAGTTAAACTCTGGATCAAACGCAACAACGACTATCGCAACATGGGTTGGAAACGTTAGTAATAATGACTTGAGATTTGGAGTCGAAAATGATTCTTGATACAAATAGGAGATTGGGAATTGGAGCGAATTCGCCCGTAGCACTTTTACATGTGAGCAGAAGCAATGCATTTACAGTTATTCCAATATCAACTAATACTTACAATTACAATGGTTCAAACAACACTTGGACAAATAATGGAGGTAGCCCATTTAGCTTCAGCATAAGTGCGTTCTTTAGCTCGAATATCTGTGTTTGAGCTAGCGTGTATACTTCATCTGACAGACGGTTGAAAGGAAATATAAAACAAATTGATTTGAGCCTTGATCACTATCAAAAATATAATCCAGTTTCTTATAATTATCGAAACGACAAGACTGTCAAGTTAGAATTTATTGCTCAAGAGACACTTCCTATTTGCGCTTGAATTGGTGAATTATAGCCCGAACGAAAACCTAAAAAAAATGATGTTGATATTGATGAATTTCAGTGCAACATCGATTATAATTAGCTCGCTATATTGAATTGCGTTGTCATAAAAAAAACTTCATTAAGCTCCATTAATAGCTCCGAGCTTCTTGAATTCGTCTTGAAACGATTCAAATAAGTAATCATGTGTTTTGTTGAATACATTTTCATTGCCAACCATTACTTGGAAATTGCGAATGCTTGCTCATGGCTAACAAGTCCATGGAGCACTGTCAAACGGGGATTGGAATTGTTCAATATTCGTTGCGCTTACGAAATGACCGCTGCTGGTTTCACTGAATGGAATCCGAGCAATGTATTTGATATTCTTTAAGCTTGAAGATAAGTGAAAGCTAAACGGAGCGTTTTGCTGAGCGTTTTGTTGACCAGTGCCTGCTTTTGACTTGAAATACTGTGCGTAGCAATCGAGATAATTGATTCTCTGAACAGGTTTAGCAACAATTTGACTTTGGCTCGCAATACATAGGAATATATAGACGAGTCGTTGTAAATGGGAAGATTTGACCAGAAGTCGAGATCTGTGTAATATTGTTGGACATAACGCCGAAAGCTACTCGAAGTGAGCCAGCTCCACCTATTGTAAGATTTCCAGCATTTGGATTACCTGGCGCTGCACTTGATATCATTACTGGAACCGCAGAGCAACCGTTTAGGGAGAGAGAAGGTAAGCTCGTTAAATCACCAGTTGCAATTGGATATCAACAAAGCCGGTATTGAACGTCATCGTTAATTTGATTTGAAGGTTCGCAACAAGATCCAATTCTTTGAAGATGGGATGGAGATTA